GATATGTTACTAGTGATTTTATTTTGTGAGATAAATTGCTTCTTGACCTCAAGGGCTTATGCTTAAAGATATCCAAATAGAAATCTTCCTGAAAAGCGTTCCTTTGAAAAACTACTTGTCCTATTTCGCAGAGCTGGTTGTGTAGTTCAAAAAAACATATTAGGCAGAAACATGTGTTGGAAGTGAAAAAAATGAATTTCCGTAATTAGCTCTTTTATAGAAAATCTATATATCTACAGGTCATCGTAAAATACAACACCCTGTATTTGTTAAATAAATACTAAACAAACAACTACTTCTTAATTTTTATTGATAGAAAAATAAATATTATTTATTACACTATTAAATAAAAGTAAATTGGTACAATTTAAATAAAGTCCATAAACTAACTTCAATTTTGAAAATAGCTACTAACTGTCACTAGAAACTTAGCCATGACGACACTAGCCCTCTTTATTGTCATTTTATTCAAAATACCGTATGATCGAATAAAAACGGCGTCAGCGATGGCTATGAAATGAAGATCGCTGTCATTTTATATGTAAAGTTATATGGGAAATGTCTTCGATCGTCATTTCATAGCCATCGCTGACGCCGTTTTTATTCGATCATACGGTATGAGGTAGATATAGGTATATAAAATAGAAAACCCTAATATAGTTTGAAAGATCATTTTGATCTGCTTCAATATGTTTAAAAAAATACAGGGTATTGTATTTGAAATAACAAAGTTTTTATGTAAAATAAATGTTTAAAATAGACCAACAATTTTTGATGCCCCTGTATACATTAAACGAAGCAATCAAATTTTTCAGTAAAGTTTATTTCTCAATTTCTTTCTATTTTTAAATATCTCAGAAACCAAAGCTTATAAACATATTTAACCCTTATAATAAGTGTCTTATTTTGTGTCCAAGAATCCAAATATGAAATAAAATACAGGGTGTTTCATAAGACAATTGATATTTTTTACTTTTTAGGAGTAGATGCATTGTTTATGTCGTAGAATATATTACATTATTTAACATCCTAAACTTTTATATACAGAGTGGCGCATCCCATTCGCCTCGGTTGATTATACAAAAACGGAAAGATATAGAAGCAAAACATTTTATGGGTATATATATGTGGGGGGGGGGGGGCAATGTGCACAATTTAAAATGATTTTGAAATATACAGGGTGTTTCAGAACTAAGATTCTGAAACAGTTATATGTTTTCTTATGGAACACCCGGTATTTTATTTCATTTTTGTATTCTTGGGCCCAAAAAAAGGCATTTATTATAAGGGTTAGTTATGTTTAAAATCTATGGTTTTTGAGATATTTAAAAAGAAGGCTACAGAATGCCTTCTAATCATTTTTACTTAATACAACTCCACAGTTTGATTATCTTTTTGCAGATACACTTAAGCGACGCGGCTACAAAGCGATTTGCCGCAATTCCTCGAACCTATAAAATTTGAAATAAATAAACGGCGATCGCTGGGGATTTATTAAAATACTGGGTGCGCAAAACATAGAACGAATAAAGCATAGATGTAAAATAGTTAAAACCATTAAGGATTTATTGTGAAATAAATATTTTTTGAGTTTCTTTCGCATACCTATAAGCTAAAGTAACTTTGAAGCACTTTTTCATTTCCCAATTAAGACGCCAATCTCCCAACTCCGCCAATTCAATGATCATTGGTATGTATATATGCATGACATAAATTAGGATTGATTGACATATTCAAAATTGTTTTCGGCCACTTCCGGTTTCACCGCAAATGACTACAACTTTTGATTTTTAAATAGCACCATCGATATTTTTTTACTATATTCGATAGAAAATGACACTCTGAATAGAATGTGACATATCATATGTCAACTTTTGACATTTTCGCATATGTTTTATTTGAAATTATAACTTGCGGTTCGTAACGAAAATTTGACTCGAAATACCAAGTGTATGGTATCAAATTATTTGTAAAAAATACTTTTTCCAAATATGTTAATGAGCCACCATCATAAAAATACGATTTGGCCATTTTCTAACCGGCCAGGACAAGACACTAAAAACATTAGACGATCAAATCTATTTTTTCAAGGCTCCTTGATTAAGAATTAGTGTTTTTAATACAGCCATGGCACTCTGCTAGATTGAAATTTAAAAATCAATTTGTTATTAAGTTTGAATGTCAAAATTTGATATTGACATATGATATGTCATTCTATTGAGAATGTCATTTTCTATCAAATAAAGTAAAAAATTACCGAGGGTGCCATTCAAAAATCAAAATTTGCAGTCATTTCCGGTGAAACAGGAAGTGACCAAAAACAATTGAATACGTTAATCAATCATATTTTATGTAATATACCCTTCATATACTAACATACCAAATCTCGTTTTTTTATCTGAAAAAATTGAAAAGTTATAGGGGTGAGCCACTTTTGAGACGCACCCGGTATAATAACAATATTTTTTCTTGATTTACTGAAATTCATTATTTCTTGTAAGTTAATGTCAAAATAAAATCTTGACAATATGGTGAGAGTAGAAATTTGAGTGTATTAGAGATTTACAGCACTCTCAGATGGAGCGGACCGTCCATCGTGTTTTTTCAAGATAGCCGTTGGACGAACCGAAATTGTGCATATAAATTCATGGTACTTGCTAGAAGTCGCGGACGCTCCGCTCCATCTGAGGGTGCAGCCACACTATCCTAGAAACGGCGTATCGGCGTAACGGCGTAACGACCTTGAATCGATTTCCAGTAATTCTATTGGCTGAAATTTTTGACAGATGAATTTGACAGATAAAATTTCTGACAGATGAATGTTTCAGCCAATAGAATTACTGGAAATCTATTCAAGGTCATTACGCCGTTACGCCGATACGTCGTTTTTAGGATAGTGTGGCTGCACCCTGAAAGCGCTGTTATACCTATTTCTCTGTGTTATACCTACCTATGTTACGGCTTTTAGTGGAGTAAAAACGATATGAAAATGTGTCAAAAAATTTTTTGGAGGTATAACCACGGCACATAAAATAATCGGCACGCCAACTCTGCTCAGATTCCTTTATTTAAAATTTCTATAAAATTTGACCTTGACGGAGCCATTATCGTTTCCTAGTCAGGGCCGGATTAAAACGTATCAAAAAATTTCTCAGAAAATACGACAGGGACGTATTAAAAAAATACTGTAATTGACTGAAACTGAATTTTATTTACACAATACTTTTGTCCAAACAAATGAATCCTCAACCGCGCATACTTCTCGACAAGTAAAAATGAAAAAATCAATTAAATATTTCACTGTAGAGAATAGACAACTAAAATTAAAAAACATGCAACTAACAAAAACATGCCGGGAGTTACAAAAAAGAATTAAAGAAATACCAATAAAATATTTATTGAACAATATAAAGAGGCTACATACAAATTATGCCCATCAATGGGCGTAGCAAATTTTATTAATATTCAAATTTCACAAATTAATAAATCCACAATTTTTTTGAGAAACTTCTATTTTTTTCATGGCAGGAAACAAAGTAGGCACCGCATTGTATTTTATACGGTTACAAAGTGAATTGGTAAACATTTTAAATTCAAAATGAACAGAACGCAACTTGTACCTTTTGTGGGCCTTATTTATATCTTCAAAATGTATTGTTAACTTATTTTAGATATACTCATTTTATTTACTTTTATAATTATATTTAAATTAATAGTATAATGATTTTTAAATTTAATTTTTAATGTCTAGATACAACATTAAATTTTACTAAATATTTAACATTAAATCTTACTAATATTAAAGTTTGTTAAGATTTTTAATTAGATCTTCCTATTTAGCTGAGTGTCCTAATATGTATACTACTGTTTTTTTTTTTCACAACTAAAATATGTTAAAATAATTAATCACATATATACATACCTAATAGGATCTCTAGGAAACAGAAAGAAACTTTTATTGAACAACAAAAATAAAACTACTAAAACAAATTATATTACATTATAATAATAATAGCTCCCGTATATAGCGTTTATACGCCTTGATATGCCCTATTGTGGCTTAATGTGGCTAGCATTACGCTTCAACCGCCTATTATTTCTCGAAATTTCGCGTTACCTCAGGATTGTGAATCCCAAGTACTCATTTAAGGCTGAGTCGACCTAGGTACCCAAACTATTTTTATTTTAATAACTAAAAGGCGTTTAAACGACCCTACTAAGTATATTAATTACCTTAAAAAATCTTCTACTCAATTCAAAAGAAAACAATTCCCGCCCAATTCCGAGTTCTCTTTTTAGCATACATTGCCTATTCATTCCCGCGAAAATAAATCGCTAAAAAGTTAAAAATATTTTTAACTTTTGAGCTTTTTAAAAAATATTTTTAACTTTTTAGCGATACTGCAAGATCATAGAAAGCGAATATTCGCAATTATCAGTATGGGACAAACTTGGGACAAACCACAAATTGACGCAAAGTGTAAAGTAAGAAATTTAAACGAGATTTCGCTTTTCCGCTCACGTAAGGAACCACCTTCACGGGTAAAGTCCGAAATGGAAATCAGTTAATGTAATGATTAGTTTGTCATTACCTAAAAATACAAAATATCTAGGTTGATATTCTGTGCTAAAACCATAGGTACCATAAAATTTAAATTTTCGTGTTTTTATTAGTTTTTTCCACAATAAGTATGAAATATAGAAATGGCGAGCTTATCCTAGGCAAAGAGTCTGAATAAAATGATTAAGGGAGGAGTATAAAGTATAATGATATCCGTGTTTTGCAAAGAGTAGATAAAACTCTATCTTATGGTCTTATGTATCTTATGGTTTTATCCAGTCTATGTCCTAGGCACCTAGGCACTAGAAGGGCACTAGGCACATAGCCCAGATATCTCTGACATAGCCACATAGATGTCACTAGCCCTTCATATCTCTGCATTGAACCACAAAGTTAAGATCTATGGCACATGGCACATACATGACATACATCAGCTGATTATGACATATGACATTAATACATTGCATGGTAAATAAATAAAAATTATGCAAAAATATTTTAAGAATTTAAGAATACAACAATAAAATAAGTTGTGTGGTGTATATGTAGTGTATTTTTGTGTCAGATATCAGTATCGTTAAACAAAATATTCAATGTACAAAAATTGTGGTTGGTTGGACAGTATTATGATATACAATAATCTATTTTTTTCGTGAGTATTTAAAATCTATTAACAAACTTATCTTCGTTGATAAAGGTTCTTCCGGTAGTTATTATAAATCATTAATGTTAGTTTATTTTTATTCCTGTTTAGAGTATTAATAGAATGACTTCTACGTAATAAATTTTAAAAAGTTGGGATATGGATTTTCATTGCCATCATCAGAGTGAAAGCGATAATGAACATTCTTTACTTGATGATGAAAACACTAACAAGTCGTGTCTTAAATGCAGGAGACATAATAATATCAATGAACAAATCCATAGTGATTTTTTAACCACTAAGTTAATATTGGGAGACAATGGCTGTGATGATCACAATTCTGAAGATTCACCATTATTAATAAATCATAATGTAAGTTTTATTTAGTTACATTATACAAGAAGATATATTTTAGACAGAAACATACTTTTCCAAATTTGTTTCTATTTTACCAATGAATTATACTATTTTTAAATTTATTTATATGTTCAAGATGTTTTATTATACTGTACGATCAAATAAAAACGGCGTCAGTGATGGCTATGAAATGAAGATCGCTGTCATTTTATATGTAAAATTATATGGGAAATGTCATTGATCCTCATTTCATAGCCGTCGCTGACCCCGTTTTTATTTGATCATACCAATGACTAAAGAATATAAGGACATGTAACGCCCCTATACGGGCTGCAGCAGAATTTGTGACCTTTTTTTTTGTTGTTTTGGTGGCAAACAATGAGTCATCATTTGGTCACCAGCAACACTTTTAGCGATTTTTAATAGTTTGTGTGTAGTAAACTTTGTATAAGTTTTATTTCAATGGTGATTAGTTGTTCAGCTTTCAAGTGTAAAAGCAGCAGCAATAAGAAAGAGCCAGGAGTTACGTTTCATAGGTAAATAAACAGTCCACTCCAACTTTTTAGCGTTTTCTTATTGAATTCGATAATTATTCTTCAATTTCAACTAACATCTATATGTACTTGATATGTGCTATACGTCGATACTAGTTTTGTACCTTTTGTTAACAATAGAGAACAACGGCATACGGTCGAGTCGGCCGCTGCTGGCACGTATACGTAGACGTAAAGAATCTTTTACGTGTATAAAAAATAAAAAATATAAGAAATGCGCATGCGTACGTAAACGTTTACGTGTTTGTAGGCCGACTTGTTCTCTTGTTCTCTATTTTAATACATTTTTTTCGTAATTAATTAGGATGATACACCATAGGCGTAGTCAAAACAATTATCAAAAAATATAAATATTGCTTCAAACAGCTAGGTTAAGAAAAATATGTGCCACGGCACTGTTTGGTGACATCGTCACAATTTGCTCTCGGGTGTTATTTGTCCTTGGATTCTTTAGTTATTGGATCATACTGTATATTCTATTATATGGAATTTGAATTATGAATAAATATTTATTTTTATAATTGTAGCACAAATATTTTTATAGTAAATATAGACCTACAAAGTATGTTACTTAGATTAAAAGGAACCCTACTTATCTTAAATTTATCACTTATTTATCTATTAATTATCTTATTGTAAATATTGATTGGTGAAATTGCTAAAAATCATTATTTGTCTTAAAATCTATAGAATGTAAAAAATGTGATAATGGTTGACTATGAAGTCTTATTGTAAGTATAACATATTTTTAATTAAGTATATTTTAGGATTGTTTTAGAGAAACTCTTGGAGATACACATATTCACTGCCATGATTCTTTGGTTTCAATTGAAGATACTAAGGCTTTCACGAAGTTGATATTTGCGGCATTGTTTTGTTTTCTTTTCATGGTAAATTCATTGATATTGTAATGGTGACACACAGTATAAATATTTTATTTTAGATAGCCGAATTGATTGGAGGATACTTGGCAGGCAGTCTGGCTGTGATGACAGATGCTGCCCATTTATTTTCTGATTTAATAGGTTTTCTTATATCAATTTTGGCGATATGGTTATCTAGAAAATCTGCTACAAAATACATGACATATGGATATTATAGAGCAGAAGTTCTTGGAGCTTTTTTAAGGCATGTTTAAACTATTTTTTCTAACACTTGATACTTCAAAGTTGAAGTATCGCAAGCAAAAAGCAAATCACAAGTTTTAAGTTAAAACTTTACCTACTTTTTATTTTTAATTTTGAAATAAAATTACACAGTCTATTCTATCTATGTTCATAAACATATATGTAGTTAAATTAATTGATAACATAATTCCCTCTAAATCTAATCTAATTAGGAAAAAAGCAAATAATATTCCAAGTATTATATAATATAATCTGATTTAATAATTTGATTAGATAATATCACCATATCTATAATAATTCCATGTACATATTGTTACAGATTCCGTGTGTCCACTAATTTAAACTCACGATAAAATGCTTAACGAATTTATTTTTCTCACTCTGTACACACAACTTATACTATTTACAACACAATTTATGCAACTACTATTACTCTAACGGTTCTGGCACCTTCGCCAATTAATTCACAATTTAAAACTCGGTATTATCAAACTTCAAACTGTCCAACTGCCAAGCGCGAGCCTTTATATACCCCTACTGACTGTTTCTCGAACCTTCTGTAATTTTCGATACTTTTCCGCCATCTGCCAGTAAATTATATTATCTGATTCACTTACTTGTTGACTTGATTAAGAGATGGCGCCTAAAAATGTATTTTACTTTTTGGTGAATTCGCCATATTTCTTGACACGTTGCGGCAATGTAGGCAACCAGCAATACAGTTTAGCGCCACATACACCTTGACAATATTATACATAAAAAACATGTGCCATATCTCGTGGGGAGATTCCTCACGTAGAAATATGATTTATTTTTTCATATAAACATAGGTCCGATTCTGCTTTGATTCGTAGCTACAGCTACAGAGTGTTAAAAACTTAATATTTTTGGATTTATTATAATTTTCTTCCAAATACTTTTAGCGTTTCGAATCAAATTTTAAGAGTAAAAGATATAAATGCGACATATTTTAAAGCTAAAAATGTGTCGATATATTCACCAGGGACGTGCATATGGGTTATCACTGGAATAATTCTCTAAAAAAAGCATATGATAGTGTACAATTGGGACAAAGTTGCGCTTTGGGATGTTCATCAAGATGCCATTAAAAAAGTTTTAAAAATTTCAAGGATTGCTGAGTTTTCTGGAAAAAACGGATATTTTTGAAAATCCATTTTATTTTTTCCTGTCGTTACTTTTTAGAAAATTAAAAAACTAATTGCACATTCTCATAGCCACTTTATTACGGCTATCTGATAGTATTTTTAGATTTTCATTAGCTGATAATTTGTGAGATACAGAGGCCAACTTAATTTTTTTAAATACAGACCTGCATTTTTTATTTCAAGTTTTGAAAGAACTCGGTCTCCTGAGTAAAATGATATGCCACACTTGATACTTTTCTTTTGTTTTGGGTACCTTGACAACAACAAAACTATTTAATTATTATTTAAAATAATTTTAAGTCCGACTCTGGTTTTTTAAATTATTTAATCTGAGTATATTCATCGCAATAATATTGATCTGCGCCAATTAAAATTGAATAAGGAAAATCGAGAAAAATTGAAAGATCAAATAAATAATATCCAGGTCAGCAATTTAAAGATATTATTTTTAACTTTTCTCAATTTTTCGATGAATTTGAAATCTCAGTGTACGATGTAATAATATGCATAATATTAATCGTTAGTTATTATAAATACAATATGATCGGAAAAAACCGGCGTCAGCGATGGCTGTGAAATGAAGATCGCTGTCATTTTATATGTAAAATTATATGGGGAATGTCATCGATGTTCATTTCCAAGCCAACTGGACGCCGTTTTTTTTTCGATCATCAAACTAGTTTCTAATGCTCTACATGTTCGAAAGGGTTACAACCCTCCCTAATGCACAAATTTATTTTTCGTTCAATCTTATTTAAAGCTCTTTGAACATATCTTCTTTTTATGCAGGACTCCTGGCATATTATACTGTTCTACCATTTCCAATCCATCTTCCGGCGAAATGATTTGATTGTTTATATTATTTATTTCATATCATTTTTTATTATTTTATTGCATTTGATTTTCCGTCTTTAATGTTTTACCCCACGTCATTGTTAAGTTTGAAAGATTATCAGTATTGTAACGATGAATAGATTTAATATTAGAAAAAAACAAAGCCGGACTTGAAATTAGTTTAAATAAATTGTGTTCAAATGTCCGAAACATAAAAAATATTAAGTGTGGCATATCATTGTACTCAGGAGACCGAGTTATTTCAAAACCTCAAATAAAAAATGCAGGTCCGTATTTAAAAAAATCAAGTTGAGCTCTGTATCTCACAAATTATCAGCTAATTTGAAAATCTAAAAATACTATCAGATAGTCCTAATAAAGTGGCTATGAGGATGTGCAATTAATTTTTTAATTTTCTAAAAAGTAACGACAGGAAAAAATAAAATTGATTTTCAAAAAATCCGTTTTTCTGAAAAATTTCAGTAATCAGTGAAATTTTTGAAACTTCTTTGATAGCATGTTTTTGGTGAACATCCCAAGGAGCAACTTTGTCCCAATTTAACCATCTTCGTATGTATTACGGTTTCCGAGATAGCAATGCTCGTACCTCGAATTTGTAGCACCCTGTGTAATTATATGGCAGGCATAGGCATTCTTCGCAGTCATTGACAGTCACTTGGCAACACATGTACATTTTTTACCCAAGTAAGAGACCCCTCGATACAGGGTATCCCAAAAAAAAGTAATGATAAAGTTGTAGTTTTTTTTTTAAACTGCAACCCCATTTTATGTATACAATTGGATTCAGCATAAAGTTTTGCGTATAGTACACTATTTGTCCTTGAAACACTATGCGGTGGTGCCATGCTGTTATTATTTAGTGAAACTTTAGTTAAAAACAGTATATCCGAAAAGTTAAAAACTGGAGTGAATTTAAGTTTATTAATTCTTTAACTATATATATTTTCTTAAACGCCAAGGATAACAGAATAAAACATAAACCTTGTGTATTATATTTCTTTTAGATGCAAAATTAAAAAATAGATTTTTTGGTATTTATTAACAGTTTCGCAGATATTTGGGGTATTATGTTACATGTTTATGGCTCTTTCAACTATAAAATATATGGGAAACAATCTTAAGGTGCCTTCTAGTGCTACGAGTCGCCCCTGAACATATTAAAACCAATAGCAGATATTGTAGATAAAATATATTGCAGTATTATCAAAGCATATTATCAAGATAATTAATTTCCCATCCTAGATATTTGTTGTTCATTTAATACATATGTAATATTTTATAGCACACTGTACATTGTCCCTATTACTACTACGCAGTTATATTGATCTTTTATCTTATTATTAAAACTTGTCACTCACTTGTGGCGAAAAACTGTGAAATCAGAATAATTAATTGCATGTATTATGAGGATCCGACTAACATTACTTCGGTTTACTCCGCGGATATGCATTATAATACATACAATTATACCGTATGATCGAATAAAAACGGCGTCAGCGATGGCTATGAAATGAAGATCGCTGTCTTTTGTATGTAAAATTAAATGGGGAATGTCACTGATGTTCATTTCCAAGCCAATAGGACGTTTTTTTTTCGATCATACGGTACAATGCACGGTGTTCAGTTGGTTGCAGTGCACAAGCTTAATATTTTCTGACGTAAATGTTTTTCTATTTTAACTTAATATTTTTGTAGTGTTTTAACCATATGGTTTCTGGCGGCAGTTTTTCTGGTATTGGCTTTAAGGAGGCTGTATAAAGAGGAATACAGTATTAATGCAAACACAATGATTATGGTAGCATCTTTGGGTTTAATAGTCAATATTATGTAAGACAGAAGTATATTTTTATTAACTCAGCTTAAGTTTTGATTTTATAGAATGGGAGCAATACTTCATGGTGTTTGCCATGCACATAGTCATGGTCCTACTCAAAGTTCTGATAATATTAATGTCAGAGCAGCTGCTGCACATGTTTTAGGTGATTTGTTGCAAAGTGTTGGCGTTTTGTTAGCCGCTACTATAATTAAGGTATGTATGAGTTTTTCTAGCAACCTTCTTTAATAAAAGAACTAGGGAGGAAAGAGTTTGTTTATATTATATTTATAGATTTTCCCTGAGGCACAAGCAGCGGACCCTATTTGTACTTTAATTTTTTCTGTGATCATAATATTTACTACAGCCAAAGTAGCAAGAGACACTATGTGGCTCTTAATGCAAGGAGGTCCAATTTCAAGAGATAAAGTTATTTTAGAATTAAGAAAAATTCCTGGAATTAAACATATCCACGATGTTAACATTTGGTCATTATCACCTGGACGTAACATTGTCACTGCACATTTAGCTGTTGGTAAGATGCAAATAAAAATGTGTTTTCCATTTTTTATAATTTAAAATTACGATAATTTGAAACTTGAAAAACTTATATGATTATTTTTTAGATGACTACTGTGATAAAGATTTTATTGTTCAAAGCGCCACATCTCTAATAAAAAGTCAAATACCTATTTATAGTTGTACAGTTCAAGTTGAAAATTATAATACAGAAGAAGTTCGTTCATGTAAACAATGTCAAATAAGGGAATGTTGATGTAGAATCACCTTTTTTCAACTCACTTGGAACATTTGAAATCTTCAACCAAAGATTTGTCACTTTTGAACCTTGCAAGTGCCAAATATTGTAAGATATTGTTTTCATGCTTTATTTATTTAAACACACTCATTTTACAGGGTATAGTAGATCTCAATGTTAAGCAATAGCATTACTTCTTAAAAACTAGTTTCCACAATATTCAAGGTATTTTAAACAAAAAATAATTCCAAGTATATTTTTCTGGGAAAAATATTTTTTCTTTTTATTTCTTATAAAAATATTCTTATTGACAACGCAATTTTTTAAAATTTATTTAAAATTTTAGGAAATAAACGGATATAACAATTATATACTGCGCTTTATTTTGTAGAACGCAGAAACATTTTTTAAAATATTGATATTGATGTTCATAAATTGAGATAAACTATATAGTACAGTACAACCTCTTTAATCGGTATAGGATTGGTGCATTTTAGTTGATTTTAATTTTGGCTAAGCCCGTGGTTATATTGGATGCGTGTCCGTGCGTTTTTTTGGTCGTACGTGCTCGGACGTGCACGCAGCAAAAACAAACAAATGGTATCTACGCAGGCGGTTACATTGCGGAGTTTGCGCGTCCGTGCACGTACGTCGATTTCCGTTGGTCGGATGAAAACAAACGGGTTTGTTTTTTAATACGTGCACGTCCGAGCGTTCAAATTTTTATATATCTGGGCCCAATACATTCCCGAAAAATTTGAATATTTTTGAATACCAGGTTTACTTTTATTTTAGATATATTAATGTTGCTGGAAACATTCTAAAATATTCAAAAAATTTGACCGATTGCTGTTTTAAATCACCAAATATTTAACATATTCATTTTCTTCCCCTTTTCTTGTATATAAATCATTTACCTAACATTTTCTTCTGTTTATAAATAGTTATTTTAACAATAAATCCTCAGACAGCATCAAAGTAGTGGCGTCCGTTTTGACAAACTCGACACACAGGACACCATGAATGCGCATCTAATGTAACCACTAAAATAAAATAGTCGTGCGAGTAAATTCCGTCAGAGCTCGCACGTTTAAAAAAACGCACGGACCCGCGTCCAATGTAACCGCGGGCTAAGGGGGATCAATTTCCCCCTTGGATTCAGTCATGTAATACGATATTACTAATTTATTATGTCAGAAACGATTATGTCAAAACGACTCGTATGTACTTTAAGTAGTTTTGTGTGTAGCCCCCCTCTTTCCCGAATCCTGGATCCGCAACTGCACGCGTTCAGGAATGGTCAGCGGCTGAGTTGCAGAGGTAGCGACTTCCCTGAACGGCCTATTTTCACACACAACAATTTTGCTCAGCCGCTAAGCAAAATTTTCAAGGTCGGCCAGCGCATGGTCAGCGGCTGTGTTCCCTGAACGCACAAAATGTTAAACGGAAACATGTTACAACAGAATATATACTTACACCTTATTATTACATATTCCGTGATGTAACGTTGCAACTTAAAAAGCGAAGGCATTTCAAAAACTATTTGTAAAATAGAGATTTCCGCGAATCCAAAGGGTGACTTCAAAGTTTAAAAAACTGTTATACAGGGTGGGGCGAACTGTATTCCGGAAACTTCGGCAGCATATTCTGCAGATAAAAATAAGTAAAAAAGTAAAAATCGGTACGAGTAATGGTTCTCAAGATATTTGGAATCTAAATTATCAATATCTGTCATCATTTACATAAACTAAACATGTTGACTAAATAGTTATTAGACTGAAATCATAAATTTGAGATGTTTTTGTGCCAAAAGTTCAACAAAAACTGTTCTATTATCATTTTTTCTTCAAAAAAGAACGGGGAATTCATGTCTCTTCAAGGTTGTTTCCCCTTTGAGGTTGCCTACCCCTCAAACAAAGATTTTCTTAGATATTTTCATTTACATGACTTGATCTGAGTAGATCTTTATTATTTGATAAAATCTAGGTGGCTGTGATATGTCTGACGTTACTTCAACATAGTTGTCTAATTAGTCCAACTTTAACAACTAGTTATCATTTTGTGTCAGTTAAAATAAAAAAAATTCTCAGAAATTTGTCGAAAATGCAAACTTATCCTACATCCGAGAGAATTATATTCTATGATTAAGTTAGTTGGTGAATGCAGTTTGCATTCACCAATTAACAGAATACTTAAATGCTCCTGATTTTATCTAGTCTGGTTTTTTTACGGGGATATGTTAAAGACAATGCTTACAAAACTCGACCAACAACATTATTGTAGCTGCTTTTCGAGGTAGAACTACACATATGCCTTTTAAACTGAAAAGATCCTATTGAAAAGACAATCATTTTATGCAGTTAACAGGAAAGGAAGCATTTTGAGCATTTGATTTCATCTAGCTAATTTTTGTCGCATAATTATAGGTTTATATCTAGTTCTAGTTTTAATTCTGTAATAATTAAAATATGTTTTAAATGTGTATCTTTTTATTACCCTTGGGTATTTTACTCTACAATCTTTTGTTAAATTAACAAAAGATATATCACACAGCCACCTAGATTTTTTCAAATAATAAAGATTTACTGACGCAAAATCATAAAAATTAAAATACCTCGGAAAATCTTTGTCTGAGGGGTAGGCAAGCTTAATAATATTTTGAAGATATATAAATTCCCCATTGAACACTGGAAAAATATACTAGGTGTTCCATTTAAAATAAAGGAGTAACTTGCTTTTAAAAGTGACTAATGTTCCATATTCATTTTGTCTCACCCTGTATAACTTTTCGGGTCAAATTTCAATTTGGTTTAACATACAATGGTTACTATAATTATTAAATATCAGGCTATACAAGGTCAACGAAAACTTATGTAGCTGTTATCGAAATTTAAAATTTACTCTTCATTTTCACAAAATGTGAAATACATAATATGTCAAAATCCTTAGATTTTAAGTATATGCTTCTTTTCGGAAACCGACGTTATGCCACGATCCACGGTGGTTTTTGCAGTTCACAGTTCACAACACACCTTTTTAAGTTTTTAATGCCACTTTTTCACAATTATCACGGGTTTGAATAAATAAAATTTAAATTAAACTCACAAGATAGCAATAATTACTTTGAAAATGGACGCTTTAAACAGTTTTCAGTATTTTTTCAATGAGGGCAGTTTAAATTTTGAAAGATTTTATAATTTTTAATAATTCTGACTTTGACAAGAGAAAATTATATGTGTTCTTATAGCGCCAGATCTCGTACAACGGTCGCGACCCAAACCAATTATATATTTTGACGCGCATTCCAATCTAAATGTATTCCTTGTGTATGTGTTTTGTGTTTATTTCCTTTATCTATGATATTTTGTTTATATGAATTTGAAGGTACGAAATTAATTTTTCACTGCTTTCGAAAAAGTAAAATAAGTAAGATGTAAAGTAAGATGATAAAAATAATAATACCTAAAATTTGGAATAATGGAGCTTTGATAACTTTCTGCTCGTGTAATTCCTTGTTTTCATTTGGCCTGAAAAGTTGCTAAAGAAATGTCACAATCAAAGTTAAAGAAACAAAATAAGCACGTTTTTAATCGTAACCTATGAAAATTTTACTTCCCACATTAAATATGAAACGTTATTAAAAATTGTTTAAAATAATTATTTATTGTTATTACAATATAACTATAAATTCAGTTATATGGTAAGTTACCATGGTAAGTTAAAGTGCTACTGTTTGTTGAGTGTTACCATGGAGGATTCCAACTGATTCCAATAATAGAATGATCATTTGAGCAATCCTCGGTCATATTCTTTTGTTTTTTTTTTCTTGTTCAATTCTTTGTTTACATATTATAAAACTCCAGTTACTCGAAGGCCTGTATAATATCATGATCGTTACAGAAATACCGCTCGGTGCTTTTTGTTTGCTATTCGTTAACAGTGTTACCATTGTAACGCTCGGGATTGCTCATCAAATCATTCGATTATTGATATCTGATTATTCCCACCACTAATTACAATAATTTCATTAAAAATTACATAATATAATTTACATTCAGCACCTTTTTAGATAATAAACTACAAATAATACTATCACTGTTTTAAAAATCCCATTCACAGGAGTAAATTTCTAAACTAGAGAAATTATTTAAACTCTTCAGCTCTTCCAAATCATCTGAAATATACTATATAAAGTAAAAAAATAATAATTTAATAACATATCAGTACCTGTATTATATGCTACTTTATCGCTGAGAGGTAATGCAGGCTTAAGCAAATCTGGTAACGGCATTGATTTTTTAATTGTTTTAAAAATTGAATCTGCAAGTAACTGTTCTGCTGTTGGTCTATAATAAGATTCTTGATTTAAACATATTTCAGCTATTTTGTGTAAATCATCACTGAAACGTCTATTTACTATCTTTGGACTTATATCACAATCTCCTAAAAGTAGGCTATGTTGTTTCAAGCTTGTATCAACTGTGAATCAATATTCACCTCCACTGAAATCATCGCCTTCCTCTCTAGGTATGGTAGTACAGTCTAATAATTGAGGTATGCAGCCTCTAACTTTCTCTGTCAACATTAGGGTTTTGGACATACCAGCAAAAGGTTCAGACCCATTTGCCAGTTCACAAATAACCATACCTACACTATAGATATCAGATTTCTCATTATATCCTGTAGAAACAATAAAAATATTTATTTTTAGTATTAAATCAATCAAACCAGGATTGAAAAAATAGTATATTGTTTTATTAGGAGTAAAAATGAATTTTACGGCGAGGCTGTACGTTTGATATACAGGCGAGGCGCAAAAAGTCATTTTTACTCTCCTATTTTTTTTCAAACGCCACTAATAATTTTTTAAACAATTTCAACCGTTCCAAATATAAAATTTTTTAAAAGTAATGCCTTGTATGTAATTATATATCGACAAACTATGGTTACGCTCGTTGAATTGGACACTTTGTCAGTTTGATAATATAGTTTCGTACTTTTGTGCTTAGGCGTAAAAGTGCTTCACTTTTGAAAGGAAAACACGCGGCGGTTTTGTAGGCGGCGCAACTTTGATCTTCACCGCTTTGATGGACACCCTAACGCCTAACGATATCCTTATAATTCTATTTCAGATGCTCAGAAACATATCTAATTATTTTATCTAGTTAACTTTTCGAAAAAAAAAATCTTAAAAATAAGCGGTTTGCGATCGTGATTTTGCTTTACCTGATAGGGAGAGGCGTACCGGAAACGCCGCAACAGCACACCGTCCAAAGATATTTAAACTCAAACACCGTCGCATTTCTCTCACTCCGACTTAATAAGATCCCTATGCGATTTACTTCCACACATGTAAATACCAACCCAAAAGTAACAGTTGCCAGCGCGGTCTAAAATGACACCAATAACAAGCAAATCGATAAACGGAGGCATGAAAATGCAATAAATTTAAAAACTGCGTAATTTTCTAACCAATCGAAGTTTTAAATTCAACCAATAAAATTAATATCGTATCGTCGGACAACCGATGCATGAAAATCAAGCTTAATACCTTGTAAATATTTATATATCGAGAAACTATGCTTACGCTCGTTGAATTTAACACTTTATGTCAGTTTAGTAATATATTTTCGTATTTTTATGCTTAAGGTACATTCAGGCTGAGAGCGTCGTCGCTTCGCGTTAGCGTCGCGTCCGGTCGTTCAGGCTGGGAGCGTCAGCGCAGCGTCATATGAGCTTGTACTTTAGGTTTTCAGTTTCTAAAATGGCTTCAAGGAGAGCAGTTTGTCTAATGTTACTATTAGAAATACAATATTTTACATTCAAAAGAATGGACAAAAAAGTAGGAATTCACCCTATAAACAGAAAACAATATCTGCATGCATGGGCGCCGGAAGAATGAAATTTGGGGGGGCGGCAAGGTAAAAATGAATAAAAAAGTGAAACACTTTTTTTTATTATTTTAAAGGTAACACTACTACATTTTCTATAACGAGTATTTTTGCAATGTTTTTGTTTTGCAAATTTGGAGCCATATACTAGGCAACTACGTATTCATGCATGTTTCATAATAATCAAATACGTTTTATTTAAACGTATTTGATAATAATGATTATTATTATTTTTTTTTTTGATAATATTGATTTGATAATAATCATTATTATGAATTTCATCATTTCGAATTTCGAAAACTCTCGAGTAACGACAAGCTCTTGTTACGACTTTCAAATACTAACATCATTTTTTTCTCTACTTTTTTTCCTTCTAAAAAAACAGAAAACTTTTGCCACCAGGCGCCCCTTCTCATTTAATTTGTATTTTTATAGACAATTTCGCGACGATCAGGCGTATCGACTTATTTGAAGTTTTAATATCGAAGGGCCCTTTACACCCTAGAACACTTAACAGCCAACAAATACTCTTGGATTATGTTTTACATATTGTTGGAAGTGAGAATCTCTCAGTGGAAGACAAAAACTTGTGTCATCAAATGTGGGTCGTCCCAAGGTACCATTTGCTGAAGGAAGTCGACAGACGGTTCAGGCAGATTTGTCACCAAAATCGGAAGAGGAGCTTTGCTTTGCCACCGCGTGTGGCAGGTAAGCGTGATGCTGCAGAACTCCTTCAAAAAATAAGATTTTCACCTAAAAGAGCAACGCGTTTAAAGAAGCTGGAAGAAGGTCGCAACGGAAATTTAGATAAGATATCGTTTTCTGCAGAAGAGGTACTTGCCGTTTTTGTAGCTTTTAAATTTACTCGTTACATAGGTACATAGGCTTAAGATCCCTACTTATTGAAAAAGGTTTCAAAAAGTTGTTTCCTACATACGGTAAAATACTAGAGGAAAAAAAGCAGTGTTATCCTAAAAATATTCTGGTAACGAACACATATCTGTTGAAGTTCCGTTGCAATCATTATTAGATCACACGACATCTCACACCCCAAAAGTTATAATCACCAAGTCTCTGACGGAAGTTGTAGTCACAGTAGTTATAAGCAGAAATTTGAGGGAGATGATTCAACTAATTAACGACATCAATAGTACCTTTGTAATTAAATTCTACAAACGAAATGCGTTTTTTTAATTTGCCGCCATGACAGTGATCACGTAACTGAAGTCATAATAACTTTTAAAGTAACTAAATATGCAGGAGCGATCTCCCATACAAAATTTTCGCATAGCTTATAAATGAAAAAAAATACCATATGTAGCCAACATTATGGTAGACACTGTATAGGTAGACAAAGAGGGCGAAATTGTCATTTTCAGTTATTTACAGCGTAAAAACAGTTGAAAATAGGTATAAAACATAAAATATGTCTAGAATTTGACATAAAATCCACAAATAATAGGTGTTTCCATTAAAACAAAGAAGTTATCTGGCATAACTCAATTTTGGGACACCCTGTATACATTAAAATATCATCTAAAAAATGGCTTGGAAAAAATGGAATCTATAATCGAAGCGTCCGAGCGTTTTTTTGAAAAAAAATAACATTGATTTTTTTTAGTGAGAATTTAAAAAAATTCAATCTGAAATCAATGTGAAAATAAATAAACAATAAAGGCGCTCGTATCTATGGTTATTATTAAAAAAAAACTTTTGCAACATCATTTGTAAGAGTTTATTAGCTTATACCTTGATTTATAAAACTGAAAAAAACACTTACATAACAAATATTTTTGGAATCGTAGATTTGCATTTTCAATCACTGTGCAATGCTCGACGCTCTCAGCCTGAATGTAACTTTAGGCGTACAGTACGTCTGTTCGTTCTGTAGCTACGGAGTATCCGTGAGAGGGGAAACGATATTCTCTGGATGTTTTTCGTAAAAAAACAGACGACGCGTCCCATCAATAAAAATTCAACAAATTTGCCAGTAGCCAATAAAATGAGTGGGCGGAGCGATTTGCGGTGACGCACTCGTCAAATCGACGAAAAAATATATTGCTGTTTATTTAAATGTTTTTTGTCCGCATTCCTTTCATAGACACAGATCCAGCAGATGTACTGTAAAAGTACTTTACTTTTAGAACGAAAACACGCGGCTGCTTTTCGGCGGTTTATAGGCTTGATAGGCGGTTTATAGGCGCGACTTTGATCTTCACCGCTTGTATACGTTCGGCGGCCGCCGTCGACGACATACCGTGTGTTTTGTAACATTGAAGTCCCATTGTTGATTCTCACTATACCTTCCGTTTCCATTCCATATCCGTTCCGTATTTTTTATTGTATTGACGCTATACGTAAGCTTCCGGTCCGTATCAGTTCCATACTTTTTATTGTACAATTTATATCATTACGAAAGTTTTATTTTAAAAATTTGTATTTTTTGAAAAAGGTAATAGATTTAATTAAAAGGTGGAAGAATAAATAAATATCAGTAAAATTTTAACAGAGCTGGTACAAATGTAAGCACATGACAACGCTGTTTCCGATACGTTTCAGTCCGTCCGCCAAAAAAATGTATGGAAGGAAAGGACATGGAACGAAAGGGAAACGGAACGGATAGTGTGCGTAGTCCTATTCATTTACATAATATAATATTTTATGTAAACGGAAGGGAGCTGATATGGAAGGTTATAGCAGAGTACGTAGATCGCCGAGTAGCGACAGAAACCGTCGGCTCTTTTGATGTGGTGGGACCAAATTTTCTTTCTCTCTCTTTTGACGTGTTTGGCAGATAGACTACGTATTTAACTGCTCAACTTATGAAGTGGTCCTATAAACATGGTATACACTGCTCACAATTTGAAGTGGAATTAATTATAAAGTTTTATACATATCTTTTTTGTTTTGTTTTATCCTTATTTCTAAATTTGAATGTATAAAATATCTTACTGCTAATAAATTAATTAAAAAAACGATTCGTTGCCTGAGGTATACTTGAAATAAAGTATATAGAGATATTTGATAAATGGCAACAGTGGCAACTTCGCTTCTTCGTATGACAGATAACCTACTTATTTCGCGCAGCCGCAAAGAAAATTGAAAACGGGACTGTCGCTACTCGTCGGTTTAGGTACTCTGGTTATAGTGAGAATCAACCATTACTGGCCTCCATTCACGCAGTTGTGCAGCTTTGAACTGTTCAAGAACGCGATACTCTCACTACATTCAATTGAGTCATAAAGTTCAGAACTGTTCCGCGCCATATGGAGGCACCAGGCTATCGCGCACAGCTCCTTTCAGAACCGTTCTGAGTTGCGCAGGGCGTAAAGCCCCGTTCTCAGAACAGCGACTGTCGCCAGCGACACGTCAAAAGAACCAATGAGGTACTACAATGGTGAACTTGAAATTCGCGAATGGAGGACAGCAATTAAGATGCCTACGCCGCGCCGCGCCGGCGGCACAGACAATGCGTCTCGCCATGTTAAAAGATAAAATAACTTTTTTATCTGTTTATATTGTCAATCACGTCGCAAAAATGAATACTTTTGAATCGTTTGAAAAAAAAACATGTTTTTTTTAATTTTTAAACAAGACCTGTTTTTTGGTTTAAAACAGTTTTTATTGTATTAAACTCGATTTTAACTTCAAAGTTGGGATTATGTTTAAAACTTGTTTTAAACTACATAGTGTAAATGACATTGAAAATTAAGAAGTAGATTGGGTAATAATGAAGTGATGAATCTAATAGTGAATAGATTAGTAAATTAGGTTTTTCCCCCGAGCGAAACTAGAACTAGACCTCATGCAAGAAAAAAACTGCACTAGTTCATTGTCAATGGTGCGCAACAACTAGGGCAACACGCGCATTAATCTACCGTGCAGCACTAGCTGCACTCAGTGCTAAAAGTGCCGAACTCATTCTTCAATGGTATTTATTTAAAAAACTACCCTAAATTTACCAATGGTTTTTAAAAACCGCACTAGTGGCGCACCAGTGCTGCACTGATTAACAAATGGTATTCGCCATCAGTTTGATTTTTAGAGAACTGAAGGATACTCCTTGTTGTAGCACTTAACGTGTCGATGCGAGTGTGTGTCGATCTGCAGAGCAGAAGGTACTGGGTTCGATCCCCAGCCAGTACAGTCGCTTTATTTATTTAAATAAAAATATTTATTTATCTAAATAGAGCGACCAACGAGCTGCCACCTGAAGGAAGGTAATGACAAACCACCTTTAGTATATTTGCCTTGTACAGCCTCTCAAATAGTAAAAAAAAACTGTAGGTCCCGTGTACTTGTGAAACACTGATGACACACATCACAAGTACATACGAGAGGTAGCCAAAGCTCTACAGAGAGTATGGCACTGTAAGATCAGAGTTAGGTACTATTTTTTAATATAATCAGATGAACAATTTTTTTTCTAGACAATATTAGATTGAGATGATTACTTTGGGTTTTTTTGTATTAGAATTATTTTTCAATAGTTTTTTTAAAGAAAGAGTCTTACCAACTAAATTCTGTTCTAACAATTCTGGACTTAACCAATTTAAATTTGGTTTAGTACTGGAAGGAAAGGAATGAATTGTTTTTTGCCACTTTCCATTTACAATTATAGGACAAGAATACCTAAACCCTGATAAACATGCCTTTCCTAATGGTGAGATCAAAATATGACTAGCTCGAATTGCCCTACAATAAGCTATTTGAAATTAATTTTATCCAAAATAATTTTAAATACCTATGAATAAATCCTTTCTTGTGAACGTAATTTAATGCTTCTAACAAATCTCTTAATATTATAATAATAGCTTGTTCTGGTAATCCTAAAATGATTATAGATTTTGTCAATTGGAGATATGTAAATATCATTTATACCATCATTAAAATGCTGACTGAGCAAATCTTTGCAGGATCCATAGGCCATTAAAGGGCTTATTACCCATACTTCAGGTCCTTGGACAAATGAAATAAAATACTGCAAAATATTTGGATGGTGTAACTGTCTTGTTAAAATGATTTCAACCTTAAAAAAGATTCAACTTTTAAATATTTTACTGTATTATTTTTGTTTAAAATGGAAGTGCCCTTACATCGACTAAATATGAATCTTCTCTTATTGCATCCATATTAAATTTTTTTAGAGCTATCATAGATCCAGATGGAACATGTTGAGCTAAATATACAGCTGCTTTCCCTTCAAAACACTGGGACAATGGAGATACAACCTTGTAATCGTTTATATTAATGTTATAATTTATCATTATTACAATAGTCTATAATGTATCAAGAAAACAAACGATATACTCTTTCCTTACATCCATTAAAAAATTAACTCAATTAGCTCTGTTACCTATGATAAACGCTGCTCTATTTCTCAATTAATTTTGTGATTCTATAGTAATTAAAAGCTCAGTGCGTAGTTCACTGTATAAAAATCACAATAAAAATCTTTTGTAATGAAAATTTAAAAAAACCTTTATATTATAAATAAACGTGAAAACACAGTAGTGACATTAGTTGACAGCAGTGTGACAGCATGTTGATTGTTGACAGTAGAAACACCTTAGACAAGGAAAGAGAGGGGACAGGTAACCCGGCAGCTGAAAGTGAGGCACGTTGTCACCACACGAAATTCTCCAATGGCGTAGCATCAGAAATTAGCTTGTACAAAGCTGGCACCCATAATGGCGGCGTGCGCGAGGATATGCGCGTAGCGTTCCCGCCAAAGCGAGTCGGCCTGCCGTGTGATTTATATGCCGTGATGGAACAGTGCCTTCTATTAAAAGATCAGCCTACGGGCGGACTTTTGTTTACTTCATCAGCTGTACATACTTAGATATTGGGTTAGATTCCGTTTCATATTTTGTCGGTTGATTTTTGGTTTTAACTCTTTGATTTTTGGTATTATTTGTAGCAAAAACTCTACTATTTTGGTGTTGAAGTGACATAAACTACTACCAGATATATGGTCACTCGGTTTCGCATAAAAAATAGAAATTTTAAAATTACACGTTGTGCAAGTGATTTAACCCAAAAGTGCCCAAGTACATTTTTTACTTATCATGATTTTGTGTGTGTTTTTAAGACTCTAACAATTCATCAATAAAGCTTAAGTGGGTGTGTTTTTGGTGCTATGCCTCATCTTTATTGTGTTCCTGGTGGAAAGGATGGTTACTAAGGATAGTTATACTAGGCAGCCTAAAGTGTCCGGAAGAGCGAGAAAAGTGGGTACGAGTCTCGGTACGAGTTATAAATCAAGAGAATTTTATTGAAAATATCTTTACTAAATTTAAAACAATATTCTCCCATGATGGTATTAATGAAAACTGGACAATGTGTATTTTGCTCCATATTGTGAATCTCCACTCCAAGTGTTGCTGGTTCAGCTTCGATAGATTCAAACACGCAAGTAGGTATTATGATCTAGGGAAAATAAAGAATATGTGTATTAGAGATCATGAAAAAGATTATTTGTTTCGTTCATTTTAAAAAAGATTTTTGTAAAGACAAGACTCATACAGTTTAAAAGCAGAAAATGTAAGTTTTTGTTTTGATGTAATATATAATGTATGTTAAGCATAACATATATTTGTTCAGTACTTTTTAATGAATAGTATTGATTATTTATAATACCAAATTAATATCAAATATTTACCTAAGTGATGGCTGAATACAATATGAATGTAACATCAATAAAATTGGTATATTTGCATAATACAAAATTAAGTTTTTTTTTTTTTAAAAAATACTAAGAAAATTCATTTCTTTGTTTTAATTGGTCTAATATTATGATTTACTTCGCAAAATTATATGGTATCATCGAAAAAAAAATCGGCGCGTCTAGTTGTCTTGGAAAAATGAACACGATGACATTCCTAAATAACTGTACACCATAGACTTAGAATAAAATATATCTAAGTTATCTCATTCATAAATAGCTGGAAGATGCGGACAGACAACGTCTTGTTATTGTTGTGTTATTGCTTTAGGTTATAACGAGTGACACGAGCGATAGATAGATTGTCTCCGTCGTAAGGGTCGTTCCCTGACGGCCTCAGTCGCCCAACGCAACACTGTCCTTTGTTTCTTCAGTGCACCTGCACTCTCCGCCAGAGTCATAGGGTATTTTTTTAATTTTAATGAAGCTATAATTCAATTAAAAATATATTTCCGCTTAAACTTTTTTTATATTATTATATTATTCAGGATTAAAGAAAATAGTTTAATATAAAGCAAAGTTTAGACTTAGAAAAAACATGTCTTAGAGTCTAAAAAAACGATAAAAATATAAATTTAAAAAAAAAAAAAAAAAAAAAAAAAAAACGAAATTATTTTAATATTTTTTGAAATTGATGATAAATTATTAATTTAATAAAATATTAATTTTAGTCAAACATTTCTACAACTCTAATATTAATCAAAACAGGATCTATTCTATAGATATAATATAACAGAAAGAGAAAAAACTTTTATAATTGCTTGAATTTTTTTTCCGGTAAAAGGGATGTTATGTAAATTAGAAAAAACAGGAATCTGTTCCATTAAAGCTAGCTTTTAGGAAGTGAATAAAATGAAACTACATTTATTTAACCTTCGTTACTGTCTTTATTATAGAGTAAGTATAATAATTTATGGTTAATGTAGTAGACTATACTTTATTCACGGAAATATGCACCAAATTCAAAACAAATATAAAAGGCATGAGTATAAAACAGTATTACAAGTAATCATTGGAAATTATTGTTCAAAAAATATTACATTAATATAATACAATATTACTGTAGGTATTACTGTCAACATGCAAGCTTGTTTGAAGCTTGATGTATTTGTATGCGCTTGGTACATCTTGGCGTTGAAAACGTGTATAGAAAATTATTATGAAAACTAGTACGTAATGGGGGATATCTTTATATACAGAGTGGTCGGAATTGTATTCAGGGAAACTTCGGCAGCATAATTCGCAAATAAAATCAGTAAAAAAAAAAAATAGTATAAATTTATGTCCTAAAATGCTTCGTTTCAGAGATACAGAGTGTAGAAATTTCATTTTTATTTCGCTTTTTTCCAAATAATTTATGAAGAATGTATTGATTAATTCGTTTCCAAATATCTTGAGAATCTATACTTGTGGCGAGTGTCAACAAGAGACCTTATTAAGTAAAAAACGTTGGAAATGTAAATTTTTCTCAGTAGTTTTATGATACACAAAAAGTATTACTCTTCAAATAACTTAAAAAATATGTAGGTGGCGCCCCTATTAGTAAAAGTCAAATCGACATCTAAATTTAATTTTTCATGTCAAAAACTCCCAAACGCCAATTCTCGTCCAAATATTGACGTCACTTCAGAAATTATTTGAAAAAATCGAAATAAAAATGAAACTTCTACACCCTGTATCTCCGAAACGAAGCATTTTAAAAACTTACAAGTTCATTTTTTAGAAAGCCAATGCAACATTTCTTGAGTTTTAAATAAAGATAAAAACAGTAAAAACATATAATAATAATATGTAAATTATTTTCTTGATACATACATATATGGCAAATAATAACAGATTGTTTTATTAAAGCATTTACGTTTTGGTTAATTCTAAAACTATCTTCAGATTATATGTGATATTACTTAAGTGATATTACATTATAAAAGAAAAAAATGAAAATTATACCTTATAATCGAAAAAACGGGCGTCAGCGATGGCTATGAAATGAAGATCGCTGTCATTTTATATGTAAAATTATATGGAGTATGTATCGATGGTTTTTTCCAAGCCAACTGGACGCCGTTTTTTTCGATCATACGGGTATATACAACACAATAGATTAACAGTCGAGAAAAAAAAAGAAAAACTTTTTTTTTTAAAAATTGGATAAATTTTAAAATTGCATATTTATTTTTTTTATCTTTGTTTAATATAAAAACGAAATATCTACCTTGTTTACATAACCCTGTATAATTTGTGAAATAATAATGGACAAAAATGCAAGTGAAAAGAAAATATTTACAAAAAATATGTACTTGTTTACATTTCTTGACCATTGTTCGTCATTTTTGTTATCATAATGGTGACCCTATCATAAAAACGTAGTTATTTCTATACCTGATGTGAAACTATAGGGAAAAAGTACGTTGTAAATATTTAAGTCTTGAAAATATAAGAATGTTTGGTATTTCAAAATGTTTGGTAGCTTTGGTAATTTTTTTCGACTTTTTATAATTTTCTTCCAAAAACTTTAAATATTTTTTGTTGTTTCATAATGGAATATCATTCTGGAATTCCTGTATGTTATTTTAGATTCTAAGGATGGTTTTAGAATAAAATGAAACACATTTTTCATAGCAAAAAAAAGCATTAAAATTTAAACAATGCCCAAGAAAATAATGTGTCTACTTATGTACTTAATAATGTATCTACTCGTTATATTTTTCAATAACGAGGTTAGTGGCTTGAACCTCTTTACGTAAATGAGGCTGTTAAAAAATACAGATTTTCCAGGGTTTATAATTTACTAAATTATTATCTAAATAAGCGCCTTTCTACAACGCCACTGACGCCAAAATAGTAAATTTGACTTACCTGTGGAATGTTGTTCCAGGAATTAAATAGTCCAATTTCTTACAAATTTGACACTGACGAACCATGTTTTATAGTTTTTAAATAAAAAAGAATCAAAATAAACACTAAACCGACACTACACACTAAGAAAATCGAATCCAAAAATACAAAATCAAAAACATCCAATAAAACAACAATAAAATAGCCATGGAGAAACTGTGACAACAAGGTTTTACGACACGTGCTTTACTCTACTATGGCTCTACTACGAGAGAATAAAGAATGAACAGGCGACCCTGCGATTGATGGGTGTTGCCAAATTGTAAAGAATTTGTCATTTTTAAATAGTCTCCTACTTATAATTTAGTAGTATAGGGACTATTTAATACATCTTTTTACTATTAAACACTACTTTATTAAAATACAGTTTTAATATCTCAATATATGTGTATAACAACAAAAAATATTAATAATATTTTAGACGTGACAACATAGGCTTGAGGCGAAAGACTCAGACGGCCGAGGTCAGCTGCACCCAGGAGTAAACATGTTTACAAAAATTAATATTGGACCGCGCTTAAATGTAAATAGTGTAGTCTATATTTTATCTTAAGTCTATGTTCGTTAACATTTTACCTATTATATAATGTTACTAATATAATATACTTTGAAAATTAATGTTGTATCATAAAAGAAGATTATTATTTCTTAAAAATATTTTTTTTTTTTTTTTTTTTTTTGGATTTTTTTTATCGAAGAGTGTGTTGTTGAGACTAAAATAAGCTTTATGTTTTATCTCTTTCTCTTTAGAAGGGAGAAGGTTTGTGTCGTAGAATAAATTACAGTATTAATATCGTGTACTGTCATTCTTTCTTTTAATTACTGTAATTTCTTGTTATAATGCCAAATCTTGACATATGGTGAAGGTTGAGGTTTGATCTTATCATTTATAAGATAATATAATAATTAAAAATA